AGAGTTTAGAGACCACTGAGATAGACGATAGACCACTAAAAGATATCAGGGTCCAGACACTGGCTCACATATTAATGGATTTTTCATCAAAGATATTAATTCAATTCAATGGAGAAAGTATAGTCTTCTCAAAAAATATATGCCCCCCAAAAAAAAAAAGTCAATTTATATCTTGTACTATGTATGTAAAAATTAATACAAATGGATTAAGGACCTAAATGTAAACCTAGACATGAAACTTTTAGAAGAAAACACAGGAGAAAATCTTGGGTTAGGTAAAGATCTCTTACATACAATACAAAAGTATGATCCACAAAGAAAAAAACAAATTGGACTTCATCACAATAAGGAACTTCTGCTCTTTGAAAGATTCTATTAAGAGGGTGAAAATATAAGCTACAAATCAAGGGAAATATTTGTAAATTTATAATGGACTTGTATCTACAATATACTTTTTAATCCTCTATAGGAAGAAAACAGTTCAATTTAAAAATTGGTGATTCAAACAGACATTTCACTAAAGATTTATAGATGACCAAAAACACATGAAAAAATGTTCAACAGTGTTGGTCATTAGAGAAATGGAAATAAAAACCACAGTGAGATATTACTACACACCTATTACAATGCCTAAAATTTAAAAGCCTGTCCATATCAGATGTAAGCTAGAATGCAATGCACCTGGAACTCTTATACACTGCTGATAGGAATATAAAAAGTTACAATCATTTTGAAAAATCAGTTGAGAATTTCTTAAAAATTAACTATATATCTACCACATGACTCAGTCGTTCCACTCCTATTTACCCAAGAGAAGTGAAAGCGTATGTCCAAAAAAAGACTTCTATACAAATGTTCAGAGCAGTTTTATTTGTGATAGCCAAGAACTATAAACAACCCAAATGTCTATCAATGGGTGAATGAACAAATTATGGTATATCCATACAATGGAATACTACTCAGTAGTAAAAAGGAATAAACTATTCATTCTGTGACATAGATAAATCTCAAAATAACTATGCTGAATGACAAAAGTCAGATTTTAAATGTTTTCATTTTTATGAAATTGTAGACAAAGCAAATTGATCTCTAGTGACAGAAAGCAGATCAGTATGTTTGGAGACGGTGGGATAAGGGTAGTGGGAGGGAAAAGTGGGAATGGATTACAAAGGGATACTAGAAATTTTTGGGGGGTGATGGATATGTTCATTATTTTAACTGGGGTGATGGTTTCATATACATATACATATATAAAACTTATCAAATTGTACACTTTAAAATTTTGCAGTTTATTGTTATGTCAATTATATTTCAGTAAAGATACTTAAAAGAAAAACTTTGCTTATACTGGACTCTCGCTGTCTTCTGGTTTTAGAACTCATTTTTTATTGAGATATAATTAACATGTAATGTTTAAGGTGTACAGTATGTTGATTTGATAATTTATATATTGCAATATGACTACCATCACAGCATTAGAACACCTCTATCACATCATATAATTATTATTTATTTTTTTGTGGTGAGAACAATTAAGATCAGTCTCTGAGCAACTTTGAAGTTTATAATACAGTATCTTTTACTATAACCCCTATGCTGTACATTAGATCTTCTGGACTTTAGTTGCAAGTTTATGCCCTTAAACATCTCCCCTACACTCTTATACCCATGTATCACACTCTCAACGGTTTCCCATATTAACAATACGATTTATTTTTCTCATGAATTTATTTAGGATCCATTAATAAGTAAGGTTTTTTTCAAAATTCTGACTTTATTCCTGTAGTTTTAAGAATTCACTCAACAACAAATATTTGTATTACTTAACAACAGAATTCATAGCTAACATATATGTGGCAAAAGTATACCAAGACTTTGCCATTATGACTAAGTTAATTAAGTAGAATTACAGATACTTAGATACCTAAACAATACACCATTTAAGATGTCTAAAGCCTGAATCAGCTGATGGAGAAGAGTCAATCTTTCTGAAGAGAGAAAGATTTTCTATGGTCTTTAAAAATAGGCAGAGTAGAATAAAGCAAATAAGGCAGAGGGAAAAAATTAATGATCCCTCCTTTTTAAATAAATACTTCTGCCATTACTCCAAAAATATAAAGCTTTACTTGAAGATGTCACAGTACCAAAATGTGAGGAAAAAAGAATTATCTATATCATATCTCACACAGTGTTTCAAAATACTAATGGTTGGCTTCGTTGCCAGTACTAAATGCATATATTATGCTTAAACACTTTCAGGTTCCAAACTGAACATAAATCTCTAGCCAAAATTCTCAGGTATTAAAGTATTTATTCAGCATCTTCAAGATGAACAAAACTACCACTACCTCCAGGAAAAGTATAAAAAGAAACTAACAAGTTTAAGAAAAAAAGCACAGTATTTTTAATGAAAAAAATACATTTTAACAAAAACACTATACATTAAGTTACAATATATATATATATATACACACACACACACACTTTTTTTTAAACTGTTTTTAAAAACCTGGTACAAATTAAATGACATCTTTCTCATATTTACATGATGAAGTATGCATTCTGACAAGATACAAAGAAAGATGAAACACAGGCTGGCAGACCTCAAAATTAGAAACTTTAATGTAGGACCAGATCTCCAAATCTGTTTTCTATCACTTTTGTGACTTTTAGAAAACATTTACCTTGTATAAGAAATAAAAGCTTTTTTCTTTTAAGTTAACTACTTACACAAAAAAAATTAATACTGAGGGAAAAGCCCACCATGGCTGTGTTTATCTATAATTCACTGTAGAAGTTCACTTGGAGACTTGGAACATAAAAACTACAATGAAGAAACAAGCTCAGCTTATTTTGAATGTCCAACTTACTACTACAGATATTACACCTTGTAATAAATGATGCAAAAGAGCGTATGTCAAACTTTGCTGTAGAGTTGTTAGGAGAATGCCAAACAGATACTGAAAATTTTTATGTACTTGTCTTTATTACCCTGTTCATTTAAAAAATAACTGAAAATTTTAAATACATAAACATTTTTGAAGTGATGCTAAGCACCTTTAAAATACAATACTGATATAGTGTAATAATCAAACATGCATTTAGAGGACAAATGAATTTTTAAAAACTAATTTAGAAACCATTTTTAAAGCTACTTATTGAAATACTTACATGAAAATATTGATAGTTCCAGTTTCTACCTAAAAACCAAAAGAGTATACAATTAGGGATTTAAACCTTCCTTCATGCTCTTTTTTTTCTTTTGTTTTTTGTTTGTGGGGAGAATGCACTGTAACTGTCTGTCCTCATGATAAAAAACAAAAAAAAACAAAAACAAAAACAAAACCAGTATCAAAAGAGACATTCACGTAGAATGAAATCCAAGAAATATTTTAAAGTTATGTTAATTCTTGACCAAGTGCCAAAGTCTAAATCCTTGGACATCGCTCATGCTTATTGGTAACTGACTACAGTTTGTATCTTATCAAGCATTTCTCCTTAGCAACCCAACATCAAAAAAGAATGTCTCCAAAGAAATTAATTCATTTGGTGGAACATTTCATAATAAACTATTGTCATTAATGAAAGGTGAAGATCTATTATTTAAAATCTTGAAAAAAGTTTCCATAAAAACTGGAACCAACAAATGGGAAGAATATTACCTACAATACAACACTAAACTTTAATTTGGACTTATTCCCTTTAAGTACACACCAACTAAAAGAAATCTGGGTTTGAGGTCACTATCATATTTAAGTTAGCATAACATAATAGATTTGGCATTCTAACTCTATAAATGCCCACATTGAATATTTTCATTTCTTAGGAAAAAGAAAAACAAGTCTTATGAAAAATCATATATGTAACTTAATGTTAACTATGCATTAAATAGGGGTATAAATAACAAATTTTATGTTAAATAGGATATAAATCTAAAGAGCAAGGAATTTTAAAATTTCACCCACTTCTAATATAATAGTGCTTTATACTTATATGTGTTGTGCATTTGAAACTATTAAAGGGAATTAAGAATGGAAACTGGACTACCTAAGGCCAAAAAAAAATCATAGTCACGTAAAGCATTATGGTTAAATTTCATATTATATTCCACATGCTTTGAATATTAAATATTAATATCCAATTGAAATCCTTATTACTTTTAAATATACCCACAGATGGTCTCTAGGGGGGAAAAAGCCTTTAGGTTGACTTCTTGACAGTTGTAATTGACATTTCTAGTTTACCAACCTTCCAGAAAACAAAAGCTCATAATGAATATACTGATTAGTACTTATTCAGTATTTGAAGTAAATATACTTACTCAACAAGCAAATATACTTACTCAATAAGCAAATATGAACTAAATTTTAAACTATAAATACTTACCTTGAAGTCCTATACATTCTAATACCTTCAATTCAGTAAGAACTATGGCATAAAAAAATAAATCTAACTCAAATTCATTTCTAACCAGAGCTGAATTTTCAATACAAAATAGGAAAAATTCCTCTGCTATTAAAAAGTTCCCCAAATTATATGTAAACACCAGGGAATTCTATTATTCTTTCTGAATTTTCTCAATTTTTACATTTTTACCCATAAGTAGTGTTTTACCTACAATACTATATAAATCCATGCAATATACATTTATTGCTGTTGCTTATCTGATTAATTCAAGTTAAAATTCTTAGTACTTACAAAGATCCTTTAAATTTCTACTAGATGACCATTAGTATGCTATTGGTTTCTAGTTATAAGTATAAAAATTAGAATGGAAGAAGCTAAAATAGAAATACACAGTTTCCACAGATGTGAATGCTGGGCTTTGTGTTGTATGTAAAATCTACTGTTTTATCTTTCCAAATGAGACAGACCACAAATATGCTCTCACCTCTCTGCCAATTTAAACATTTCACAACTTTAAACAAGGAATAAGTTCTTTGAGAACTTAAAAAAGTCATTACATACACACACACACATACACTCACACACAGTATTTTTGTTGTTTTTTTCATCTTTTAAGAGCCAAAATTGGTATTTCCAGGGGATGAGTTAGATAACTATTTGTGTTCAGACTATGTCACCATGGATAAGTTCAGATGATCTTTAGAAACACTGGCCTATCAGAGACTCAAAAAGCGTAAGAATCATACAAAATAAGAGGAGCAAAATATCTCTTAAGGTAAAAATATGGAATTGGCAACAAATATAGCAGTTTTAAATCAAAGCTGCTCATCAAACCAGTCTTCAGTCCACTTATCATAATGCTGCTCTTTGACAATATTCACCTTCTTTTCTATGATATCACCAGAAGTCACCAGAGTTGTAAAATTCCGAAAAGCTTCAGAAGTTTATGTTGCAGATAATTTCTTAGAGTCCAATTTTTTTTTTGCTTCCACAGACAATGCTGGTTCTTTGGGTTCTTGCTTAACTTGAGTCACAGAAATGGTACCTTCTGGATTTTCTTCAACTTTAAAAGCAAACATAAAAGAAAAACCCTAAAGGTTAGTATCATTTATAACACTGGAATTTTTAGAATTATATGAATTTAGAAGCAAGGCATAAAACAGTAGTTTGGAAAAAAGAACCAAGTAATTCGGAAAAGCAGTTGGTGTATTTGAGAAGTCAGTGCTTCTGACATCTTAACAGTCATTCATATTAAATTCCTTCAGTATGCTTCTAGTAATGCAAAAAAGAGACCAAGAAAACTATAAAGTTAATCTCTTCTAAAGATGCTTTGACAAAAAATCAGTCCATAATTTAATAAAATTATGAAGAATATTTCATATTTAAACTTGTCTTTAAAAATATGTATCAATAAAGATCAGGAAGCCTATCATTAATTGAAAATAATTTGTTTTACAAACAGCAAGCATATGTATCATAAATTTGAAGACATGTTACCATTCCCATATGGTTTCCATATGTGGTCATGTATGAAGGAAAATGTTCCTTCCCTAAAGAAACTTCACTACATGAGTACTTTAGAAAAAAATATGCCACATCTTAAATGATAGCTCTGACAGCTGCACAAGCTTTGTGTTGGCTTATCTGAAATATTTCTGAATACGTGCATCATTCTGATTTCAAAGTACTTATGACCAAATTAATCTAAATTAACCTAAATCTAATATACCTGCAGCACTATTGTGAAGTGAACTGGCAGGTGAGATACCTAAGATAAAATCTCTCTCTCTCAGGAATATCGGTTTTTCAGTTTCTACAGGGACCCAAGGTTAAAGGGACCATATTTGCCTAGAAAAGTGTGAACACATCTACTCCTTGTCACAGATGAGTGTGCTGGAGTTTAACCCAAGCCACAGAGAAAACAAATAAAGGATAGATTTGAATGACCGTGAGAATAAATAGTCAGGAGAAGTAGTCCCTCAGATCATGAGCTAACTTACTAAATCATGCAAGTTCAGATTAAAAGAGGGTCTCCTTTAAAACAATCTGAAATTAGAGGTCCCAGAAATATTTAGGCACAATACAGAGAGGAAACTTATTAGAATGGAAAAGAAGCTTTGGAGGCAGATAGATCTACGTATAAATTCCCACTTTGTCACTTACTAGATATGATTTTTAGGCACTTACTTAACTTCCCTGAGCCTTGGTTTCTCCATCTATACAGGATGGGACACCATCAACTATTTCATGGAGTTGTGAGGATTAATTCATGTATATTCCTTTTCTCTCTCTTCTATTAAAGTTCCTCAATAGTGACAACTGCCACAGCACTCTGGATAAATTTTCTTAAAAGTATTACTTCCAACAAATTTAAAAGGCAATAATTCTTTTCTGGAAGGAACTATCTCACACTTTTCTTTATCCAAAGAATGATGATGAAGAATGGAGAGAAAATATATGTTCTAAGGAAAATTTCTATGAAGATTTTTGCTCTTCAAAGCAAAAATATAAGTCTCCCCACAAAAGTGCTTAATCCAGAAAGATTTGTGGGCAAATCTTTCATAAGTCAAGTAGGAGTTAATGAGTTTATTACTATGTTGACCAGGTTTGTTACAAAGTGAAGGTATCAAGGTCATGGATGAAACCCAAGCCTCCAAGTTTTACTAGTTCCTTTTCAATTTCCATAGAGCTCAATATTTAAGCCTATAACTCGAAATCTTTCTCTTTACCTTTATATCTGCCCACTTCATTCCATTTTTCTGTGTATCAATTTTTCCATATTAACTTTTACAGTAATTTTCCCTTTAAAATTTCTCTAATGTTTTCACACAATTAAAATGACCTTCGTGATCTCATATCACCACAGTTTTTTCATGTAACACTAGGTAATTAGAGAATGAATAATTTCAGTAGAGAAAAAATTTTGAAGTTTAAGTTATTAAAACTTACACTCATGAATTTTTTTCCTTTTCCTCGTAATTTTACTTGATTTATTTATGTTACAAACTCACTGAATAGAAATGACAGTTTTTTTTCTGTAGTGCAACAGTGATAATAGTCCATAAGGAATAAAAAAAATAAAATCATAAATTGATTTTAACTTACTAAGAGCTGGGTTGTTGCCTATAATCTGTATTGGAATGGTGTGCACATTGCCCAGTAGAATCCGATGAACATTTCCTTCCAGGTTCTCTGTATCCTCAACATCTCCAACTTCCACCAGCTGATCCATTGCAACCAGAGTTTGATCTGGTTCCGGAAGGTTACCCATGGTAGAGGCGACACTATTGTTTTGGGTTAGGCATGTATCTGTTTGAAGGCTATGACTTTGACCAAGCAGTAGAGAATTATTATTCATTACAGCACTTCCTACTGAATCCAGAAGTCTTGAAGGACTGGAGGAGGGGTGGTTATTTACTGGTATCAGAGCCGGTGATCCATCAGAAGTGAATCTTGGTTGCAACTGCAAACCCTTTTAAATCAAAAAGATTTACATCAAAATGTTTGAATTTACTATATACAATTTTCTTATAGGATATGTTATTCTTTTGACATAAAATTGGAATGAAATTTACGTAAGAGTATAGTTGCTAACAAATATTGAAGACAGAAACAAGAACCAAAGGAAAAGTAGTACAACTAATTTTTATTGCATGCATAGTCAACTCAAACTTTTTCAACATATTATTTAACTTATCATCTTAAATCAAGATACAAGTTAGGAATTAATAATTAAAATATCTTTGATCATTATTAAAATTCTATAACAATTCCATAAAATCCCTAATAAAAGAAGAAGAGAGACTGAAGAAGAAAGAATAGGGCCTCAAATTTGGCTATTTTACTGAATATCTACCTGTAGTTGTGTGAATATTTTTGGCTGAAACGAGGAAAGTGAGGAGAGCAAGTGGGCTGGTTCTGGAGACAAAGAACCCCTTGTCTGATTTGTTTCCATTCTGGTGGTAGTTGATTCCCCTGCTGAATTTCCTAAATCATATAAAAAATAAACTATTAAAACAAAATAATATTTATGGCTTCTAGGATACTACACTATATTACAACCCTTACTATCAGAATTGGAATAGGAAATAAGGTCAAAAGTTTAAAAAGGTCTTTAAGAAGTTATCTAGTCCACTATTTCCAGAATGTGGTAGATAATCAGAATCACTAAGGGAACTTTAAAAATATATAAGTTCCTAGATTCAACCGCCATTAATTTTAATGCAATATATCTAATATGGAATGTAGGAAATGGCATTTTTTTCCTTGAAAGTGTCTCTCTACATCTGTATCTCTAATTGAGTCCATTTTCCATGCAATGATAATGGATTACATCTAAATTTCTCTATCATCTTTGGTAGCTCTAGTACCTAGGACAATGCCTGGTATAAAGTGGGTCCTCATAATAATAGTATTAAATTTCTTTCAATAACTCATGTGGGAATAAATGAGTAAGAATAAAAATATCTGTTTTCTTAATATCTCAATTTTTAAAGCAAATTATCTTTAGGGAATTTGCTTCCTTCTCGTGTAATTTTTATGTTAACCCAAATATATTCATCTCTTTAAGACAACCAAAAACCAATTATTGACAACTGGCTTTTCTCTGTAACCTTCCACATGCTATTTAATGCTGTTTCTAAAATTCAATTTCCTCATCTGTGAAATGAGGATAATAAGAGAATCTTCCTCAAAGAACTGCTGAGAGGATTAAACATCACTCTTCTTGGCTTCTTCATTTCTAATTGTCCTTCTACTTCACTTTGCTGTAGTCACCCACTATTATGATCACACTCCCTGGACTATTCTATATTCTATATCTACAGTCTCGAATTCAAACATCCATTCTCTGATTACAACCTCTTATTCTTTCACAGATTTTGCTCAGGTATTCCACACTCAATTGTTCTTTACCCGCATGTGAACCTTAAATCAACTGATTCCTTAGTTTTCTTCAGGTCCATCAAGCTTCTTTCTTAATAAAATTCTCTCTCCATCCAGCTTAGCATCCTGTATTTATAATTTTCGTCACTCTTGCAAATATCTTTACCTTCCTTGCCTCTCTGTCCTTTGGTCATACCTGCCTGGTAAAATCCTAACTCTGAATGAAAATAGCTTCCACTGCTTATACATGTGAAGCCAAATGCCACTGAAAAAGAAACTCACTGCTACTACTAATACCAATTCATGATCATCAACCTCAACAGGACCTTCACCTATGTCTGACCTTATTAAGATTCTCTCACTTTATATTAGGGATGATACCTAATCTCTATTTTCCTAAAATCTTGGCCACCCTTTCTGAGATCTTCTCTCATTCTTAGCACTCTTACTTAAGGAGAAGAGAAAAATATCAGAAATTTCCTCAACCTCTCATCACCAAAGCTATTAGTACCTTCATCTTCATCTATCTCTTCAGATCACTCCTGAGCTTCCCTCAACCCCACACTCCCTTCATAGCAAAATTCTTGAAAAAGTGGTCCACACTGTCCCTACTTCTTCATTCATCTCCTATTCACTCTTCAACAGCCCCAGTATGGCTTCTTCCCAATCCATTCTATTGAAAGGGCTCTGATACACAGGCTTTCCAAATCTGATCCCATGATTTTTTTCTCTCCCCTGAAGCCATCAATACCCTATCCTTATGCCAGTGCTGCTGAGCTCAGTAGATGCCACTATCAGTCTGTTGCTCATGGAAGAAACTCAGGAGTCACCCTATATCATTCCCATGCTTTTACCTCCCATACCTTCAATGGATAACCAAGGCCTTTGAGTTCTTTTTTAAGTAACTCCTAAATCTGTCCAATTGTAATATAAATGCTACCAACAGTAGTCTAAACCACTAACACCTTTCAAATGGATCACTAAAAGGGCCTCCTAAACCTGTTTTGCTTATCCAGTTTTATCTCCAAGCATTACCTATGCTTAAAACTACACTAACTTTCTTAAGTTCCTTGAACATGACAAGCTCTTTCTTGCTCAGCCTTTGAACATGCTATTTCTTTAATTGGCAAATTCTTATTCATTCTTCATTTTTTTTAGTTTAAATACCACTTTCTCAAGCATCACTTCCCTACTGCCTGGACTAAGTTATATGTCTCTATCACTATTCCCACACAATTTTGCAAAACTCTCTCATGGTACTTTTCATAATAGTAATTAATTAGAACACATTTGTTTAGTGTCTTTTGCTCTTGCTCAACTTTAAATTCAATGAAGAAACTTGTTGTTTTTTTATGCCCAGCATTTCTTACAGTGAGTAAAATATGTGCTGAACAAATGAATAATGCTAAAGAATTTAAAAGTTATTATGTAGGCAAAGTGACTCAAAGGTTAATAAGTAGGAGAATAAAGAAATAATTGTACTATATATAGTTATTCACAAATTTATTCTAAAGCATTTATTTAGGTGTTAACTTTTTAGCAGGCATTATGCTATGAACTAGATATATTAATTTGAATAAAATATAATCCTTGCCCTTGAGTAGCTCAACTCATAATGAAAGACACAGATGTGATAAACAAAAGGATACCATATTAAATACAAGAATGAATATCTAACTTTATGTAGGAGGTGGAGTTGAGAGCACTTAAAGCCAAGAGATTGCTATTTGAATAGTGAGTTTGCCATGCAGAAGAGGAGAAAAGACATTTCCAGAATGGAGAAAAAAAGGGCTGAAATAAGCTTGGACTATTGAGAGAACATAGGAGTAAGAACATATGAGAATGTGCAAACCATACAAAAGGGACAATAGTTTCCTGGAATTAGCCTAACTTTATAGTATACTGTGCTATAGTTATCAGACTCAAAATTTCAATCATAAAGAAGCATAAAAGCTGATTATAGGAGGAAATTTAAATAACAGGGATTATTTTGATAAATCTTAACATAGTTGCTCTTGCCTCTTTGGGCCATGGTTTCTTTATCCATAAAATTTGATTAGATAATATCTTAAATGTCTCCTAGTCTTAACATTGTTTGATTTTATATTTTAAAGGTATTTAAGATAACCTACCTTCTGCAAATGTAACTGTCACAGTCTCTCTGAGAATATTCCCACTATCTGTAGTCCATTGAAGCTTAAAAGGGAACATTTATTTCAGTGAAAATAATAAAGCATTTATACTGAAAAGCTATTGTAAAATATCAATACAACTGTCATATTTTATTCACTCATAGTATAATTGTGCTTTATTCTGTAATTACTCTCTTCACTTGTTCATATTCTAAAAACACAAGTACACTTCACTATCCAAATGCATTAGCTTCCCAAGGTCAGATAGCAAGAATTTGGTAAGCAATGTAGGACCAGTGCTAACCCAATCAGTTTTTGTTCCTGAACTCTGGATAATGAATAATTAAGAGTTCTGGATAGCAAAAAATTGAAGCTCTAGCTTTTTAAAAAATCTAAATCTATTCAGTTACTGAATTTGGAGAGTAAAAATCTGGAGAACAAAGAATATTGCTACTGAGATTTTGATAACATAATTGCTGCCGGCATTACAATTAGTAGTTTCTGGGTAATTATATTAATCTCTTCAGAGTAGGAAAAATTTTTATAGAAATGACCAATATTAAGGGAGAAAGTACAGTATGAGTTAACACTGATATCCATAGATGACATATAGAACTGACATCATCACTTTGTGTGTTCAAGTCTTAGCTAGTTATTTACATTTATCCATATATTTAAAAAGAGAGGGTGATATACACAGCCTGTGACTTAATAAATGACAGTTAAATGAATAAGATATACTTTTTACAGAGATAAAATTGTTGATTTTAAAATATATATATTACTACTGTTATTATCATCACAGTTGGAAAAAAAATTGATTTTTCTTGAGAGTGACAAAAAAATTTAGTCCAATCACCTCCTGAGAGTTCATAGTGTTTACATTTTAAGAAAAAGATACCACTATTTTAATTCTATCACAGTTATGGCCTAATAACAATCATTCCTAGTAGGCCAAATAGAATAGAAGTTGAGAAAGATTCTGTAACAAAGCAAGGAATTATAGTTATACCGTTGCTGGAATAATCTCTGAGTTATATACATTATCTCCATTTCTCAAGGATTTCTGTACTTCATGGATGTGATTTTTTATATCATTCACAGTTGGAAAAAAAGATAAATTATGTCTTTCAGGTACTTCATCAGGTTTGAAGAGTTCCCTTTCCACAAATTTTCTGTGGAGCATATAAAATGGAGTAAAACATAAAGTCTTTAATCAAATAAGTGAAAGGTTCTCTTTTAGCATAAACTTCCGTAAAGCATGGTTTAAAACTTTATAAGTAATTTACATTTTTCCACACAATAAATCATAGAATCTATGCAAATTAAAGAAATGGAATATTTACATTGGTTAAACACCTGTATATCTTAGAATAAGCTTTGACATTTTTATGAATTTAAAGAAATCGCTATTTTCAATTCAAGTATATTTTTGAATGCTTATTATTTTAGGTTCTGTACTGAACACTTCACATCAAGTATCTCCTTTAATACGTACTATAATCCTATGAGGTAGGTACAATTAGCATTCCCACTTTAGAGATAGGGAAACTGAGGGCTGCAGAAGTTAAATAATTTGCCCCAAATTATACACCCACCTAGTAAGTAAGAGAGCTTACACCTACACCCAGGTTATGTGCATAAATATTATAATGCTTCTAAAAGGCATTAATAAATATCATATTGCTTCCAAAAGGCATTAATATCATATTGCTTCCAAAAGACATTAATAAATATCATATGAAATATGATCTGCTAGCATTTTACAAGTAGACAAAAGAGAAGAATAGAAGGTGGCATTACCACATAATTGTATAAAAAGAGATACATAAAAGAAATGATAAAGTTCAATATACATGTGCTTTGTGCATTACATTCGGTAGACTATATCACAGAGCTGTCTTATACCTCTGTTCTTAAAATTCAGGTTTAGTAAATAGTGGATGGTTTTATCAAATTTTGTCTTTTCTAACACTGCCTCAACAGAAATAAATACAAAATGTCTAAGAAAGCTACTAAATAAAAAAGTAATGTATTCTTATAATTATTTCTTAATTATAAGAAATAATCTTAGGAAATACTCATTGTGTTGTTCAGATCAGATTATACAATAACCAGCATGAATAAGGTTAAGTGCCAGAAATCATGGCAAAAAGCACATGCTATAGAGTTAGACCTATATTTCATACTGCCTCTACCTCTTAAGCCAGTTATTTAACCACTCTGAGTCTCTATGTTCTAATCTGCAGAAAGGGGATAAATATACCAACTTCACAGAGTCATAAGAATAAATGAGATCATGCATATAAAGTGCTTAGCACAATAGCTGGCACAAACATGGTAAGTACCACATGATAATAATAATAAATTGTTATATCCTAAGCATCAGTAAAATTAGACCAGAGTACTACATACAAAATTTAATTAGACAAAGAACTATCTATGTTCTTTTGCAGTAATAAAATTTAATTCCATCTGAAATAAGCTTAAAATAAATACCTTGGCCTAGGTTTAAAAATCTTTGGTTCTACAAAGGATTTTTAAATGTTATATGAATATAATTAAATTCATATATCATTTAGAAATAGTCCAATTTGCCAAATTTGAATAAGGAATATCTCAAATGAGTAATTCAAATCATTCTCATGGCTTGCCAAGCCTCTGCTAGAACATGATCAGTCCGTAAATAAGCTTATTTTAATAAATTAATAAACTATATTCCTTATCTACTCTGATGGCATATATCCTAGAAAATGTCTACAATGTTAAGTGTATTATTTAAACCAACAAACAAAAATTAAAAACAAAAAATTTTTCTACTGTACCTTAGCTGTTTCCTTACTGCATACACTTGTTCTATTCCCTGTGATACTAATTCTTGAATCTTATGTGCTACTTGAGGATGTAGACGTGAGGGTAATGTACAATTCTCATCTCTAATTGCAGTCTCCTCTTCTTCTAGGGAGGACACAGGAAAAGGGGAAGGTGATAAAGGGAGGGAGGGGGTCTCTAATTCGTGATACTGATGAGCTTGTTGTGTAGGTAACTGTACATACCACCTGACAAAAGAAAATATTTAAAATTACATTACTAGGCAAGGTCATAATTACTTATGTTAATATTCATCAAGAGAAAGAATAATCTTTTAAGAAAAATTATATATGACTATATCATATTAAATAAATATAAATAAAAATGTTATAAATAGTCTACAGCCATGCCGCCCTGAACATGCCCAGTCTCATCTGATCTCAGAAGCTAAGCAGGGTCAGGCCTAGTTAGTATTTGGATGGGAGACCACCTAGGAAGACCAGGTGCTGTAGGCGTTAAAAAAAAAGAAAATTATAAATGAGTTAAAAATAAATAAAATAAACAAATAAAATTTAAAATGTTCTCTGATTAACTCTTCTTAGTTTTAAACCCAAGTAAATAAAAATCTTTATAAACTTTTACAGACTCTTACTATGGCCCTAAAGTTAAGGAGGGTACAAAATTGAAGTATATATGAAAATAGTATTTTAAATTTCATAGTAAGTAAATTTTACCTCAAAATAATGAAACTTTTACATCATCATCTTTTGAATTTGTATTTTCCCATTCTTCTACCATTTTGTCCCCAGATTACAACTTCTGTGTTGCATCTATTATTCTTTGAACCAAAAAGTAGATATAATTCAGAGTCTGTCAAGATTGAGCTATGCAAGGGACTCTTCTCTGACAGGAGCTCAACATACTGCCTCTACAGTGCTCCAGCTCCTGTAGTCTCATTGAGCAAGACAACGAAAATGTGAATGCAGGTCTCTCGTAGAGTAGTGGAGTGTAAAAAACAGATGATAAGAAAATGAACCGATCTGGTAGGATATTGTTTTAATTGATGTTTTTGTACAAAATGCGTCAATGACTGATATTGCAGGAAATGGAGCCTACTTAAAATGCAATCCTGAACAGAAGGATCTAATTACTGACTATTCATTTTTCATATATCTAAAAGTTTTTTTGAAGATCACAAAGAAACTATATTCCATACTATTAACCTTATTATATAATTGCGAATTCTTCAACTAGACTGACACATAAAAGAAAACAAAAAAGAAAGCTATTATTTCTTATTTAAGATGTTATAAAAGGTATGGAAGGGAATTTTATGTAGGGCTTAGAATTCATTTCTGGCTGCCATAAGTTTTCAAAGATGGGTTTAAAAATATACAAGTGACGGCAAATTCAGCTCCTAGCAAGTATCTGAAAAAACTGTTAAATACATAGTAAAATATTTTCCTAAATATGTATTTTTCATTTTGGGAAAAAACTTCTATATGGTATACAGAATGCTTTGTGATTTATCCATGCTATCTGGCAGATAAACTCAATGGCTCATACAGCAGCAAGTCATTTTAATACCTGGGGAACTACAAGTGAGACATCTACCATATAAAAATTACTTCTTAATGAAATAATTAGAAAACATAATTTTTCTTACAGAAGGAATTCTTGCAACTGGAGCTAATTAATTTGTAAAACAAAAGAACTATATAAATGTCATACCTAAGAATACCACCAGCATCTACCAAGTTCTTCTTTAGCATGTTAAAGGCTTTCTCTTGCTCCATTCGAATTATTTTCCTATCAATTTTGGGGTCTGTAGGAACTCTGTATTCAGGAAACTTTTGTACCTTTTTAATGTAAATCCTTTTTATAAGGGAAAAAAAAGAATCTGTATCATTATATCGTAATCTCAAGAAAACCTAATTTATCAACCAGAAGTTTACTTGAAGCATTAAAGTTTAGAGGAATTCAATTAATCTAGAAAGCATTCAGAAGATTATGTGAAAGATATGCCATATTCTCAGTGCATATTACTTAGCAAATGAACAATAAACAAGACTTTAGTAAAAATATCTAAATATTTATAGCATATAGTATACCACATACTATAATATTATGTTCTCCAATAGTTTTTTATTTACTGGTCTACTCCATCAATACATTAAGTTCCCCATGATTGAGTAAAATCTTACAGCTCTTTTAGCTTCCCTCCTTCCATGACACCCAATGTAGTGCCTGGGTCCAGAGCAGATACTCAAAAAAGTACTTATAAAATGATAGAGAATAAAATTATTTCTTCACATAGAGATTTTCTCCCAAATTATATGTAAAGTTTTAGATTTATTACTATGTGTAAAAAGTGGCTGAAAGTTTTGTTTCATGGTCAGGTTTAAATATTGCCTAAACTTCACCTTGTCAGATTAAACAAGAATCTGAACTGGCTTTAAAAACTTCTTGAGATGCTGAGGTTTGTGATGTAAGATGTGATGCTAAAATAAAATGTTTCAAAGATCAACTAAATCCAACCTTTACATGTTATCTTTTTAAATTTTATTTTATCTTATAATATATAATATAAAACACTTTCAATGTCTCAAAAAAGAATATTAGTAAAAGATATTATAAAAATATTTTATTGGTTCAGTTTTCATTCTCCCAGAACAATAACTATTCTGTAGTCCTATGTAAAACTTACTATGTTGGTTTTTTTATACATTGCTGGTATGAACTAGTAAAATCTCTCTAAAAAGCAACTTTGCAATATCTGTCAACATTTAAAAAGAATATAACCTCTGCCCTAGCAATTTCATTTCAAGGAATTTATCCTACTAATATACCTGCACAAGTATGCAAACAGGTACAGTGTTATTAACTGAAGCTTTATAAATAATAATAAAGAATACTTTTCAGAGCCTATATGTCCATTATTAGAGGACTAATTAAGTAAATAACCATCCATAAATGGAATAGTATATGGCTATTAAAAGGAAAGAATCATGAAATTAATGTATATGAAATTAATTATATCTCAATTTTATAAATAAGTAAATTAAAAAAAAAGAAGAAGAAGAAAGAAAGAACCAGTGCTTTTACATACAAATATGCAACCAGCTTTGAGATATACCAGGAATGAAAAAAAGCAAAGTGTAGAGTAGTATATGTCATTACATTCACACTAGTATGAAGCATAATAGCAGTGCAGTTAATAACCACGATAGGCACTTATAATGGAAATGAATCAATGTGAATCCGTATCAGGAAAGAAGGTACACTACTACTTAAGGAAAGAAAATGTTAGTAAGCTTTACTGATATCTTCAGCATTTATGAGGGGAAAGCAGAATGTATGTATACACACATGTGCGCGCGCGCACACAGACACACACACACACAATATCTTTGGAAGGTTACTCAAGAAACTGGTAAGAGTTGTTGCCTTAAACAGGGACATAGGGAGCTGGGGTAAGAGGAAACTTAAGATTTCACTGTATTATTTTTTGGCACTGTTTAAACTTAACAAAAGTGTGCATATTAGCTATTAAAAATAAGTACTTAATAAGAAAGAAATAAAAGAAAATAAAGCTTACCGGGCTGGACAAGTAGCTTTGTAGAGCTGAGAAGACCTGCTTTCCTGTTCACTGATCTTTTTTAACTGGAAACCTTTCCTCCGTGGCCCATATTGACACTCCATTACCACCGCTCTACTACCTGTGGGCCAAAATCAACTATTGATATTAATTCAAGTATCCATCTGTTCTGAATCTGTCCAGATTAAAAATAACTTGGTGGTGGCAATGTCAAAATGTGTACTTTCGATTATGCAACTTTCAGAAAACATCAATAAGTCTTACTAAGGATGTACAAACAAATTCAAGTTTATTGTAATATTTACCAAATGTATCATAGTATGGTAAGGAAATTAGCCAATAGCACATTTACTTAATGTCAACTGGTATTTACATATGTGTGATTTTAATGAAATTTACCATTTTATAAATAGAAATTAGCAAATACTATATTTGTTAATAAATTTTAATGTCATTTAAATTTTTATTTCCTTTTTATTTATTTTCTTTTTTCTATTTGGTCTGTTAGTATAATGTGATAACCAGCCACTAACATGGCTCCCAATAATACCTGCCTCTTAGTATTTATGTCCTTGTATAATTCCCTCCCCTTGAGCACTTGGGCTAGACTTGTTAACTTGCTTCTAATGAATATGGGCTAGACTTATTAACTTACTTCTAATGAATATAACAGAAATTGACAGGATTTTTAAATTTTATTATTAGTTTCAAGTATATAGTACATTAGTTAGACATTTACATAGTTTATAAACAATCTCCCTGATTGCTCTTTCTCTCCTCTGGCTCTACCTACACCTAGCCATTACATTAATGCTAACTGCATTCCCTGTGCCATGCTCCCCATTCCCATGACCACCTATCACCTCCCTCTACTCTGGATATCACCAGACTGTCCTCTATATTTGTGAGTCTGTTTTTGATTAGTTTCTTCTTTTTGTTCCTTAGATTCCACATGTAAGTGAAATCACATGGTATTTATCTTTCTCTGTCTGACTTATTTCGCTAAGCATAATAACCTCTAGGTCCATCCATGTCATTGTGAATGGTAGGATCCTTCTTTTTTATGGATGAGTAACATTCCATTGTATATATGAATCATAACTTCTTTATCCAATCGTCTGTTGATGGTATTTAGGTTGCTTTCATGTCTTGACTATTGTAAATTGTGCTGCCATGAATATTGGAGTGCATAGATCTTTACAAATTATTGTTTTGATTTTCTTTGGATAAATACCCAAAAGTGAAATTGCTGGGTCAAAAGGTATGTCCGTTTTTAATTTTTTGAGACATCTCCAGACTGTTTTCCATAGTGGCTGTACCAATGTGCAATCCCACCAACAGTGTATGAGGGTTCCTTTTTTCCACATCCTTGCCAGCACTTGTTGTTTTTGATTTATTGATGATAGCCCTTCTGAGAGGTGTGAGGTGATATCTCATTGTACATTAATTTGCATTTCTCTGATGATTAGTGACCTTGAGCATCTTTTCATATGTCTATTGGCCATCTGTATTTCCTCTTCAGAGAAATAACTGTTCAGGTCTTCTGTCTATTTTTTAACTGGATTGTTTGTTTTTGTTGTTGTTGAGCTGTATGAGTTCTTTATATATTCTGGATGTTAACCTTGTATTAGATGTAGACAGGATGTTATTTTTGATATTAGGTTATATAAAAATACTGTGACTTCCATCTTGGGTATTCTCTTGCTCTTGCTTGGATTGCTGCCTTAGGACAAATCGGCTGTCATATTGTAAGGCAACTCTGTGCAAGGAATAACTCACGTAGCAAGGAATAAGGCCTGCCAACAGCCACATGAGTTGGCTTGGAAGTAGTTCCACCCCAGCTCAAGCCATGAGATGACTGCAGTTCCAGCCAACACCTTAATTGCAGTCTTTTGAGAGAACATGAGGCAGAAGTACTTGCTAAGCTGCACTTTGAGTTCTGAGCTACAAAAACTATGAGATAATAAATGTTTGTTGTTTGCAGCTATCAAGTTAGGTTCAATTTGTTACATAGCAAAAGATAATGCAAATAAGTAGATGTGAAAACTATACAGTTTAAGATTTTAAGTTGAATATCCTATTCTATCTAGGGTACAGCAAACTTTTTAAACATAAAACCAAAAATACCAATCCTAAATGAAAATATTGATAAAGCTGATATTAAAATGTAAAACTTCTATTTAAAAGACACCATCAATAAAGGTAAAATGAAAATAATAGTTTGAGAAACAGTATTTTATAATACATACAAAAATATGCAAAATATAAAGAACTACAAATAATTTTTTTAAAAACTAAAGTGACAACCACACAGAAAAATGGGCAGAGGCTATCAATAGACAATTCAGAAAGAAAAGAAAAGGATATTAAATGAACAAATAAAGAGATGTTCGACTTCAATAGGAAATGAGGAAATGCAAATTAAAATAGTGAAATACTACCTCGCACTCTTCGGATTGGCAAAAATAAAAAAATTTGACAATATTCTAAAACAATTGAATCCACTGATCAATCCTAACACCACAAAAAGATGTTGTATGTAGATTGCAACAACGAAGTACACAGAATCTATGAAGTATTCTTGCAAAATACTTTTATGAAGATTAAATCTTCATTTAGTCAAGCCTCTAGATCTAAGTTTACAGGAAATACAGGAGATAGAAGAACATGTTAAACTACACCACAGAGAGAGAATCAGCAAAATCCAGAATATGGCAAACTCTACAGAACAAACTACCTGGGGAAAAACAGGAGAGAAATTTCTAGATGAATAGAAATGTAAGAGATATATTAACCAAATGTAATCTGTGAAATTTGTTTGGATGTGAATTTGAACAAACCTATGGAAAAAGAATTATGAAATACGTGGAGAAATGTGAACATTAGACATTTAGAAATTACTGTTAATTCTTTTAAAGTTGATAATGGGATTCTCATTATGTATTTAAAGAGTACTTACCTTTTAGAGATATAAACTTTAGTAATTATAGATGAAAATAATATGATAGCTGGAATTTGCTATAATATCATCTTAGTGGTGGGAAATGAGAAAGTGGATAGGGGCATATAGTAGGCAAGATTGAGCATATGCTGATACTTGTAGAAGCTGGATGATGGATACGTGGACTCATAGGATTTCATACATTATTACCTCTACTTTGATATACATATGAAAACTTCCATAATATAAAGATTTTGGGAAGTCTGACAATGGTTAAGGAATAAGGTAAATGTGGGAAAGGAAATTCCCATACATTGATGAAAGGAGTAAAAATTGCTATACATCGTCAATCTTTTACATTCATTTCTTTATCTAAACAGCTCAAAAAACAAAATTTGGGGAACTCAGTTGGCTGCAAAACCTGACCTGAACTTTCTGAGCCTATTTACAATCTTAATTTATTCTTCTTAGTGTGATCATCTGTAAAGTATTACTATATTTGATCATGTATTATTGACTATAGAATACTTCCTATAAGTATTTTGTAATATTACCATATTATAGTACCCAAATACAGAATTCTAAAATATATCTAGCCAAAAAAAATTTAGAGAAGAGATTCTGGATCTGTACAACCACTTTAGTGAGCAATTTGAGTAAATCCTGTAAAGATGAAATGGGAATATTTTACAGCTCAGCAATTCCACTTTTAACACATACTCCAGAAAACTAATTACATCCTTTCTATAAAAAACATATATTGTGAAGGCCTGGCTATTGCATTCTTTGTAATATTTAAAAGATGGAAAAAAACTAAATTACTGTTAGAAAAATAACTGTGGTTTGATCATATGCTGGAATGTTATAATAATTAAACTGAATTAACTAGGATCTATAAGTAACAATATGGATAGATTTCAAAAAATAAGGGTGAGTGAAAATTTTACATAATATCTACAGTTCACTATGTATATTTTTAAATATTCAAAATAATAAACTACATTATTATAAATACAAATATGTATGGTAAAGTATAAAAACACAGACTGGAGATATACACACCAAATTCATGTAGTGGCTGCCTATGAAGAGTTAAGAAGGGGATTAAAACTAGGGATGGGGGAAATGCTTCATTTCTTTTACAGAATACTGATAAACCTGGGCAGAAGGAGTTACATTTATCTTATTTTCCTCTAAGTATTTCTCTTTACTCTCAGAGGTTCAGGATGAGGCTGCAACTCTTCCAGCTGAATCAGTACCCGCATAGTCCTGAAATAAATCACTTGTTTTTAGGTTTTATGTACTCTGACTAGTCTTAGGGTGAATCTCTGGGAATTTTTTGAAACTCTATCATTTTAGTAAACACTAGCCCAGTGTTTGAAAATACACGTGTATATAATACACCTGAGAACCTTAAAATCGAGAACCTTGCTATTAGAATTCTATATAATAATTCCTGATTTTATACAAATTCTATACAATAACTCCAGAGTTATAAGCGATATAAAATGGACACAAATTTGTCCCACAACACAAATCAAGAGAGCAAGAGAGGACACCTGTATTGGATGAAGAAAAAAATAAAAACCAAGATCTATACATATTTGAAATAATAAAATTGCTTATTGTTTAATTTGTATTAAGACTATCTGGAGTTTCAATAGTTTTATTTTCTATTTCCAGCATAATATCTGAAGAGAGAATGATTTAATATGTTAAAATGCAATTTTACAACATAAAATAATTGGTTATATTTACTATAAGTTTTCTTTTCAGTTTAACATAAGTTTTTATCAATTAACATTTAGTTGTCATCTACCAAAAAGAAAATGTATCACCTTAGGAAAACCACATTTTCACAGTGTATCATGGCTACTGATGAGCTTTTAAATAAATCTTTTAAAAAGTACCTGCATTGACAAATGGGATTCCATCATATGGGACATACTGGGATTTCCACATCAAACGTGAAGCTGGCTTGGCTGGGCTAGGAGATTGGCGGGTTCCCCAAACACTCTGTGTTTCCTGCTTGTGAAATGTTAAGACACTTTCTAATTCAGTCTCACTTACACAGTAGCCACGGTATGAATCTCCAATTTTCTGCATGTAGTAAAAATTAAATAACAAAATTATTAGCAAATATGTTTCATTGTACAAATAATTTAATGAGGTAGTTGTCCAAGATGAAAGACTCATCAGCTCTCAAAAAAGAATGTTGTTTCTCCCCTCAGATCAATGGTCTATTACAACCAGTGGGTCTGATCTGAATTCAACCAGCTTCATCAAATAAATATTGTCTAGGTATTTGTTAGAGAATGCCAAACTCACTGCCACACTATCTTATCAAAACCTTGTTTGAGAGAAATTATATTTAGGGAAGATAGCTTGAAGAACATATCGTGTCCAGATATTTAAAATTCTACTCTTGTATCCAACCAGATAGGCATAAAACTAGCCACAAAATACTGATTCCCTATGGGGCTTCTTTACTGAAATTGATTTTGATAGGATGCCATGTGTCTATCTGAACATCTGAAAACTGGGATGGTATCTCATATAAAAATGTCAAAGAATTTGCTCCTTACAACGATTCTTTTTATGAAGATCCTTCTTTGAGAGAAATTCCTGTCTGACCTTAGTACCAAAAATAGTTAATGGTTTTTTTTTTATTTTATAGAAATCAGCATAATTACTTTTATCAAATGGACACAGAATTTAGTAACTAACTAGGTTTCCCTTTTTGAATGTGCTTAGATAATAGACAAGTGTGTATGTCTACGTATACACACACACACACACACACACACACACACACACACACACACTGACATACATATTGTTCATTAAGATACACATTTCTAACTTCTATTTTATGGTTCCATTCTTGTTAATCTTTATTCTTTCACTCCACTTTTAACTTCCACCTTGCTATTTTATGTATTTTTGTAAGCTGTCTTAAATTCTTTCCGAAATAAAGCAAGGTATAAATAAATCATGTAAATAAATTGATATTATTTATGCACAACCATGTGAGTATCCCTCACCTAGAGCAGAAGCTTTTCCTATACCAACAGAGAAAATTGTTAAATGTGATCTCTTACACTGAAATGCATAGACACCCAGAAATGACTCCATGTGTGTTTCTCTCTTAGAGAAAATAAAAGTAGAGATGTGGGAGCAGGGATCTTGTACCTCCTCATTAGACTAAATATTTTACCTTGCAAGAATACATTTAATGAAGGAAGGTAACAAAATACTGTTGTGGCTGTACTTTTGGCATAATAAAAGATGATGTAATGCCAAAAAATTCATTATCTACAATTTTCCCTA